CCACGCCACTTTTCTATGCCCCACCAGCCAGAATTAAAGTACTCTGCATGAGTTTGAAACACACCGGCCCAGGAATATGGGAGACGATTCCACAAGAAATTAAAGATTGTAACACTTTGCATCTTTTTAAAAATAAACTGAAAAATTTTTTAATTACGAAAAGTTCTGTTTTTCAAGGATAATAATGTATATGTATATATATGTATATAAGTGTGTACATATTTCATTAACATTGATACATTTTCTCCTATTGACAATTTTATTTTATCATTGAGAAGCAATTTTGAACTGCACGGTGGCCGAGCCCACAAGAATTAATTTTCTTTTTTTGGTCTCCGAATCATTCATGCTTTTGTTTTGTTTGATTGAATAAAAGTGATTTGATTTGATTTGATTTGATACATACATACATACATACATACATACATACATACATACATACATACATACATACATACATACATACATACATACATACATACATACATACATACATACATACATACATACATACATACATACATACATACATACATACATACATACATACATACATACATACATACATACATACATACATACATACATACATACATACATACATACATACATACATACATACATAAATATATACATACATACATACATACATACACACATACATACATAGGTGTTGTTGGTTGTTCAGTGTAGAGCTTTTTGAAAGATTTTGGTTTGGCAGGTAGAAGACAATTGATCGAGTTGCATGAAAAACATAGAACATACAGCTGAACAAGCGTCTTACTGGGCATGGTTAAAAAGGAAGAAAAAGGAATGCGGGTTTAAAAAGTTACCAGACGAGCTTGTGGCACGTAAGGCTTCCGACTACTCAACACTCCCAGATTCGGCTCTGCGTGTTACTTGGCTCGTCGATATAACTCACATCGTGATATGGTTATAAGTGAACTGTCTGGCACGCCTTCACAATTCTTCAGTATGAAAGGAGGTGATTTCAAAGCGAGGCAGATTGTTTGTTCAGCAAGAGACATCCAACTGATCTCTGCATGTGGCCCTGTTTCTCGAGAGTGTCAGCAAGTTAAAGGGCCGAAACACTCCATGATGGAATCTCTTCCTCTGAAGACCCTCGCTGAACGCTCGTTGTGTTCGAGTTTCTTCACACACACACTACACACACATACGCAAACATACACACACGCACATACATACATACATACATACACACACACATACAATAATACTAATTTGAATAATTAATTTTTTTATTTTTTTATTTTTTATTTAAATTTATTAAAACACGCTCAATTTTTCAAAAATATAATTTTATTTTTGTAAAATGACTTTTTTTTACTGTAGAAACAAACTTAGACATACTCACACATATACAATTATGCATAGATACATGCATTTAAACTTTCTTATTTAAAAACCAATAATTTGTATACAAACAATTTCTTTATTATTTATCTCGATATTATTACTACAATTATTATTCTTATTATTATTATATTAATTGTGATTAAACTTTTTAAAAAATTGATATAATTGAAACAAATGAAGAATGACAATAAAAATGGGTTAACTAAAAAATTTTTTGCAATTATCATCATCCTCATACTCATTATTAGTAACATCTTTATCATTATTATTACTAATACTACTATTTATTATTATTATTGTTGTTGTTGTTGTTATTGTTGTTGTTGAAAGTTTATGTTGGGTATAGAAGCGGGAATCAAGAAATTTATTCCAGGCAACTCTTTACCTTGAATGAGTGAGCGAATGAATGAATGAATGAAAGAATGAATGAATGAATGAATGAACGAATGAACGAATGAAAGAATGAATGAATGAATGAATGAATGAATGAACGAACGAACGAACGAACGAATGAATGATTGATTGATTGATTGATTTATTTATTGATTGATTGATTGAATCAACAATTGAATGAATGAATGAATGGATTGATAGCTAGATGTATGAATGATCGAATGACTGAATGAATGAATAGATCAGTAGATGAATGAGTTTAGAAATATTGTCGTCAATATTCAACAAAATCGATCAATCATATTCAAATTAAACAATCAATTAATTTTTCAAATTTATTTATTCATTCAATCAATCAATCCATCAACCAACTATCTAACCAATCAACTAACTAATCAACCAAATAGCCAATCAACCAAATAGCCAATCAACCATCCAATCAACCAACCTATCAACCAACTATCCGACCAACTAACCAACCAACCAGCCAACCTTCCAGCAGCAGCATTCCAGCTTCCGATCCCAGGCTGACGTGTGTGAACTTGTGGAAGGCTTTGAACTTTTCGATGCATTTTATTGTATCCTTTCCACCTGTTTTGAATGAATGAACGAACTAACGAACGAACGAATGAATAAATGAATGAATGAACGAACGAACGAACGAACGAACGAACGAATGAATGAATGAATATATGAATGAATGAATGAATGAATGAACAAATGATTAAATGAAAGAATGAGAAAACGAACAGGCAACAGTTGTAGTCCCTTTCTTAGTGGCGATGGAAATCCAGGAGATCAATCCTTCAGTTCCTTTCGAGAAAACTTCCCACTCAAACATTCCCGGATAACTGATTGGCCAATCATAATTATAATTAATAATATCATTATTATAATTATAAATATCATAATTATAATTATATAGAACCCCGTCCAGAGCAGGGTTTTGGATTTCATAATACTCTGCGATATCTTCTTTAGGCTGTCTGCCCCAATGTCCAGGCCCTAAGTTGTTGTTATTGTTGTTATTATTATTATTCATATTACTATTATAAATGTTTATTTATTCATTTTATCATTCATTTTATCAATCAATCCATTTGTTTATCTGTCTGTCACTCTGCGGGAGGGCGGTGAGGTTGAATAAATGAATGGATGTTTTATAGAATTTATCAATTGCTCAGTCGATCTATTTTTTATGGATAAATGGATAGACGAGTTAATTGATGGATAGATTGATAGATAGTAGAATGAATGAATGAATGAATGAATGAATGAATGAATGAATGAATGAATGAATGAATGAATGAATAAGCGAATTATAGCATGGATCAAACTATGAAACAATCAGTCATTCGTTGATTGATTGATTGATTAATTGATTGATTCATTGATTGATTCATTCATTCATTCACTCAATCCATGAACCAACAATATTGTCTCCCTTGATTCCGTCTTTAATTTTAGCCTTCCCCATTGTGGCCTTTTCATCAAGCTTGTCGCCAGTTACAAAATCAACCGGTAGGATTAAGTTAACCTGATTGGTTGGTTGAGTGGTTAAAGAAACAATTAGTTAATCAATCAATCAACCAATCAATCAGTCAGTCAATCATTCATTCAACCAACCAACCAAACAACTAACCCTATAAAACTTGGCCTTCTCAATGATTCGCGGAACTAGTTTAGCACCATCTTCATCAAAGTTTGACTTACCGATCTTACAAATATTATAATTATTCAAAATTGATTAACTAATAAAAAGCTTCAAAACTGAGTAGCGTAATGGTTAAAGTGTCTGGCGTTTGAGTTGCTATTACCGGGTTCGAATTTAATTCTCGACTATCCCAAGCAGAAAGTGTGTATACATTGTTTAAAGCGTTTAAATTGACGAAAATATACCAGTTCCATGCAAAAGCTATCCATCTACCGGCATAATAAAAACATTAACAATTTTAAAAAATGAAATCATGGTGGAAAGAGATTTTAATGGCTAGTGGTAGTTTTTTGACCGTTTTTGCTGTTGACATTTCAAAGAGAATTTATAGTAAGAATAATAAAATTATTATTGACATTTGTAATTATTACTAATTATTATAATAATAATTATAATAATTATTATTATTATTTACTTCCATCTTGTTGGTTGCCTTCAGGAAAGTGTAGGCGAGGTCACCGACGAAGATGAGGTCAGTGATCCTCTCCAGCAGGTGCTCGATTATCAGCATCTTGTCCACCATTTTCGAGCTTTTTTTCAAAAATTTCACTTATTTCTCGTGATATTAGTTTAAAATCACTTCAATTAAGTCATAAGCCTAACTCTAATTATAATAATATTAATTAAGTCATTTCATTTTTTTAAAGTGTTTTTATATCTTCTAATTAAATGGATTTTGATGGGTTTTTATCAGTAATTTTAGGAAAATGAAGTGAGATAAGTTTGTGGAAGACAGCCTCCAAAATATAATTACAGTGAATAATAATAAACAGTTAATTGTTTAAATATTTAAAATATAAAAACCTCGCGAACACATACTAAGAACTAACACAACGTAGCTCTGAGCACGTTCCACACTTCAATTAAACATAGTACATTTAATAAGTTATAATTAATAGTTTATATATATATATTATTATATATGTGATTATTATTATTATCATAAATATCATTATGATTATTATTATTGTTATTATTATTATTATTATAGTTATGACGTCACAAAGTACCTACCCCCCTAAAATAACAGCGAAGGGCGTTAAGGGTTTTTCGAGAAGTTTGGCGAAGGAGTCTATCTCTTTCTTCATGAGGAGCCCAGCCACTTTAATTTCATTTGAGAGCTGGTTGATTGAACTGTTCGAAAATTGTATTTTTTATTTGATAATTTTTAGAATTGTAGTTAATATTTTTTATTTAACTAATTGATCAATTAACCTATCAATTAACCTATCAATCAATCGACAAATCAACCAGTTTCCCGGCCAACCAGACAACCAACAAATCAATCAATCAACTATTTTACAAACCAACAGTTAATCAACAAACCAATCAATCAGTCAATGAACCAACAAGTCATTTAATCAACAATCCAATCAATTAGTCAACCAGCCAACCAACAAATCATTTAATCAACAAACCAATCAATGAGTCAATCAACCAACCAACAAATCATTCAATCAACAAACCAATCAAATAGTTCATCAACCAACAAATCATTCAATCAACAAATCAATCAATCAGTCAATCAACCAACCAAAAAATCATTCAATCAACAATCCAATCTATCAACCAACCAACCAACCAACCAACCAGTGCCACATGTGGGCCGCACTGAACGCATCATTAACGTAAACATCACCAAGTTTTGACAAACTATCCCTAAAAATCCTCAATGTTGATTCCTCTACGCGGATCTTTCATTGAAATAAAAAAAAATTCAAGTTTAAAAATACTATGTAACTACTGCTGCTGCTGCTGCTGCTACTTCTAAGGTAGCTGCTTTTGTTGCCACTACTGTCGCTACTACTTCTACTACAGCAATAGATAATTATAACCTTTCGGCCGTCTTCGTCAACTTTCCCTTCCTCCTCTATGTGGAATCTGAAAGATAAAACTACAATTATGTTATGTAGGATGTAATAAAGTACGATCAAACGAATGAACAGACGAACTAACTAACGAACAGATATAAAAACGAACAAACAAACGAACAAACGAACGAACGAATAAACGAACGAACGAAAGAATGAGTGACAGTCCGACAAAACAACAAACCAACCCTAAATTTTCGAGCAATATGATGGAGCCTGGCACTGGATTATTGCAAACATCATCAACATTTGGACCGATACATTCATGCACGAAAATAATTTCTCTTAAATAAAAATAATCAAAATAAAAATTATTTTTTATAAAATATGTTTATTGACTATACACATACACAACACAGTCAAACGCACGTACACAAAGACAACCCAAAAACACAGACCTATCTAACAATTTTTGTAGCTCATCAGCTACCGGCTTTACTGACAATTTCTCTAATTTCTGGCCGTGAGGTTTCCCAAGGTGAGTTATCATTATGATGGCTTTAACGTTTTTGCTCATGAGAAACTTTATAGTGTGTAGTGAGGCTAAGATTCTGTGATGATGACGAAGATGATGGTGATGATCGTAATGATGTGAAAATTGGTTTTGGTCGTCTTGATGGCATAGAGTGCCTGTGTGTGTGTGCTTGCATATTTGTGTGTGTAGATGTTTGCGTGTGTGTGCGTGTATGTGTGTTTGAACCTGTGGTTGTCAAGAATCTTTCCATCTTCTATCGCCACATCCAGCTCGGCTCTGTTTTTTAATTGTGAGAATTTGAAACCGTAACGATATTATCAAATTTTCGCATAATGTTCTGGATTGGATATTATCGAAATAATAACGGTATCTAATGAAATTTTGTTAAACATTTATTTTCTTAATTTATTCTAAAAGTATCGTTTCGATGCGATCCGATACGGTACGATGCCCTATTGTATTTGCTTCAGTACAAAATTAAAAAGACTAGAATGAAATAATTTTTTTTAACAACCTCACTAGGATTTTTTTATTCGTCAGTTCTATATCTTCGATGGTTTTTCTTCTGAGAGACATAATTTTTATTTGTTTGTATCTCTGTCTGTCTGGCTATCTATCTGCCTCTTTCAATGTATGTCTGTCTGTCTGTATGTCTGTCTGTCTAGCTATCTGTCTGTCTATCCGTTTGTCCATCCGTCCGTCTGTTTTTAGTTTTATGATTGGTTGGATGGTTGATGGATTGATAAATAGATAGAGATTAGTCGATTGATTGATAGATAGATTGATTGATTAACGAATAGTATGGTTGATTGATTGGTTTAGGTTGACTAAAACGTTTTTGTAATCAAAACCTCTCGGAATATTTTTTGTAGCTAAAATAAAATCATTGTTTACTGTCTAAATGTTTATATTTACTTATGTGACGTGCAGAGAATTAATTTTTTTTATAAAAATGAAAATTTTTCAACTTTTGAAATTTTTACTTTTGAGTTTTTCCATTATCAAACACACGTTCCATTGTTCGTAGTGTTCATTCATCTTCTTTCCAAGATTCAACCATGTTGGTAGAGCTGTTGGTGGCGCGGCTCGAGGTTTCGGAAAAAGAAAATAACTTGAAACCGACCTTTAGGAGAAGGCCTGCACAAAACATAAATACTCGAAACCAATCACTCGCTCGTGAAGAGTCAGCTGTAGTAGCCCTACAGGAAAAATTTCAACCATTGGCTTGAAGAAGCTAGCGGAAAAATTTGACAACTTGAAATCAATTAATAGCTTGATAATATAGAAACTTGAAGCCAATTCCTCAAAGAGAGCTCGAGTGGAAGTTTGAAAATAATAAATTGTTCATGGAAAATTCGCGAAAATTATAAATCTTGAAGTTTAATTAAATTCATGCGAATATGAATGATAACAGTTGAAATGCTATAGCGAAATATCAAAAAGTTTAAAAAAGTTTGGGAACAATTATTTACAATTTGTGAAATTTTTATAATCACCATTTTCCAAATGGTAATTGCTATTTTAAGGATTGCTGCCAGTTAGAGAAAGCTGTTAGTCAGAAGCAGAACAATAACACTAAATGACGACACGTAGCAGCAAAGATTTAGATTTCAAACGTACACACACACATACACGCACAAACACATCAAAACTTACACAAACATACACACACAAACATATAAAAGCCCACACACACACTCAGAAAAACAAACACACACACAAACACATGCATACACAGATAAATAAATATTCGTTGCCAAAATCCGAAGCAAGACAATGGCAGCCAAAGCTATATCTGAAAAAGCTAAACAATTTGAAATAATGACTTTATATTTAGCTGTTTTATAAAAATTAATAAAACAGAAATGTTTAAATCAATTTTTATAAAAATAATAAAATTGTTGATACTACTCCTTTTAGTTCGTTCTGTATCACATTTTGTGTACCAAGTAAGACATTAGAAATCTTAATAAAAAGGTCTAACAAATTTAATTTTTGTCGTAGAATTTATTACGAGGGCCGAAGATACCTCTACGTCCTGACAGAACAACAATTGTCACAGCCTATTTTATCTTGAAAACATTTCAAAAAGGTTCTGGAGTCTAACGTTCTTACAGCACATACAAAAGATGGTGCTCCAGTTTTGCTCTTCTCAAAAACCCGCTAATAGTTTATTTAGAGAGAAACAGCTCATTTCTTGAAATTTTTAAAAATGTTCGATCAAATAACTCGAGTAATACTAAAATAGTTGAGGTGGAAAAGAGGAAATTATGGTGCTTTCAACTGCTTCCAAACATCACAAAAATATTTTCCAGATCCGACTATCCCAAACATTCACCAAACACAGTCGTTCCGGAATATCCAGCTATTCCGCATTGCAAATACGAACTTATGAAGATGTCGATATTAGATAATCCGTTCAACACTGAATATTTTGCTTGGCTGGATGTTGGTCTCTTTCGAGATTTGACCGACTACCCATTTTACTATTCAATCCTCGGTATCAACCATTTTTTTCTTCGAAATTTTTCAATAAATTTGTTGGAGGATTTTAAAGATTCAGAAGTAGGATACACAGAAGTGTACGAACTGCAAAGGAACGTGGATGCTTGCGATGTTATAGAGCAAAATATCGTCTGGGTGTGTGGTGCTTACTTCGTTGAGCATTCAAAAGTTCTTTTAAAATGGATTGGTGAATACATGAATGGAGTTGAAATGATGATCAGAAAACACGATTGTACAGGCACTGATCAGCAAGTTATCAATTGGTTGTTCAGTAATAAGAAGAAATTGAACATAACAACCAACATTCAAACGTACACCAACGCTGGAGGAAGGTTTGATCGCTGGTTTTATTTAGCATACATCAGTAGAAACTTTGAAACATGATCAGTATTTATAATTGTAGTTACATGAGGAACATTTTTTTAAATAAACCGGTTTTACAAAAAACAGTTAAATGTGTGAACATATGTACGTTTCTTTTATTTAAATTTGTTCGAAAATAACATTTCAGTAAAGTAAGTAAAATTGCTTCTAGATTATTATGAATAACTTTAGTAAAATTTTTCTTGTCAATAGCTTGACAACCCATTAGTTTCTCTTATTGGTATAATTTGTGTTCTAGCCATAGATACTAAACCGTTAAAAGATCTGAAAATGAACTAGTTAACTTATTTTTAGCTTTTTAATTTTTTTACTAGCTTTTTTTGAATATTTCTTGAAATTTTTATTTCAAATATTAAAATTTTAATTGTTATTCAATGTGGTAATCAGTTACTTTTATTTGTTATAATTTAAAAAAATAAAATCGACATTATCGAAAATAATTAGTGAGTTTTTTTGCATATCCCTGCTTTGACTCAAAAGAAAGTATTGTATATTGGTAAATAGGTCTCCCCTTGCCTAAAAACAATATAAATTAAAACAAAAAGATTTGTTTAAATCATCTCAACAAGGATGGCTGTGTAAGAATTGCTTGTCCCTTATTACCGTATTTATATTAATTTCACATATTTTGCTTGCTTGGTTGGCTGTTACTATAATTTAATGAATTTCTCGATAACTTCCCACTGTCCGATTGAGCTGAAATTTTCCATATTAGTTCATTCCCGGTGACAGTACGTTAATTTATTAACAGACTAAATTAAATTAATGAATAAATTTGAAAAAAAGAACATAAAAAGAACGCTGGGAGCAGAGATAGGTAGGTTCCAACAAAAAGTAGTTGACTAATGGTATTTTAACTATTTTAACTCTCTGGTAGATAAGCTGTAGTTTGAACTACTTTTTCGATTAGTTCATGAGTACAAATTAACAATTTTTAAAATAGCAATTAACTTATTATAATTAACTACTTTTTTAACAACTTGAACACGTTTTTACAAAATCAGAGGCTGGTCTGTAAAGCACTACGGTCCCAAATCAGCCTGGCTACAAGAAACCAGAAAGTCAACTTTATCTCTTTCTTTTAAAAAATGGTTAAGGTTTGGTTTTCGGAGTGATTTCAAACCAAATCTGAGGTTCTAGAAAGAATAGTCAAACATTTAAATTGTGTTCTGCGCACATGTTTACATACAACGACAGCGATAGAAACTTTACAGCAATGTGCTCCACATGTAATAAAAAAAAAATTTGGAAAACATCCCTAATTTAAATTCCAATTATTTCAACTTTTTAAACATGTAAATGTAACTAAATTGTAATCATTTAAATAACAGTTTGTACGTGAAAAGACTGTAAAGCATACACCAGACTACAACAACAGTCAAAAACTATCAACTTTAAAGGTTGTAGTTAGTACAGTCTTTGTGGTACGAAAGTTTTATTACAAGGATCGAATAGCTTGCGATTGACAGAGCTGCATCATAAAATATTAAAAAAATCTCGAGTTGACCCAAGCTTTAAAATTATCATTTAGGAGAATGGAGTTTTAACAACCTGATGTTAAAATGATATAATGGTTGATGGCAACTGGTCCTGCATTAAAGTGATAGGGTTAATAAAACAAAACAAAATGAAACAAAACGTTATTCAGTAACATAAAATTCCATTACAGTTTTACACATTATTGTTCACAAAATTGTTGAGTTTTGCTGATAGGGAAGGCCAAACAAATGATGATCATTGACATCTTTTCCATAGTAGTATAATTTTAACAATCGTGATTGACCAAATATGTTAAATTATATAGTTACTGATTGACAACAGCAATTTTTAATTTACTCGACCTGTCATGCTATAGTCCCATTCAGTCGGCATTGTGCCATTTCTCCAGATTTCACGGCAAAGTTGTAGTAACGTTTGGATACCTGCAGTACCAGATGCTTTGATAATGTCATTTGTGAGTCCAGATGTTTTATGGTCATCCACAGACTTTGATTTTTGTCATTTGTTTAGACTTATGTTTTGACAGTTTGACAACCAGGTCTGTCACAAGGAGTCTATGTTGGGGGACACATGACTCGTCAGGTATAACTTTGACATTTTTGAATAGCCTTCTGTATTGTTGCTTGACAGCGAAGAAATCAATTTGCGTGGCTGATGGTCCACTTTTGTATGTTATGAGATGTTCCAACCTCTTTTTAAAATATGTGTTCAGTAAACAAAACCCGTGACTTTCAGCAAACTCAAGGATGCGGTTGCCATCTTCATTCCGTTTTCCATAGCCAAAACCGCCATGTACGTTGTCAAAACCATCTGTTTTCTCTCCAACGTGGCCATTGAGATCGCCTTCAATCAGGATTGTTTCAGATTTTGGTATTGTTGAGATGGTGTCAGAGAATGCAGCCTAGAAGTCAATTTTCATCTCTTCTGATTCGCCTGTCTGTGGTGCGTATGCAGAAAAAATAATCATTGTTTGCTCTTCTATGCGAAGCTTGATCCACATGAGACGTGAATTAATCCTTTTAATATCCAGTACTTCTTGGGCTAGCGGTTCTCTGACAAAAATTTCAACATCATTTTTGGCCGTCTTTTGACCATTCCAGAATAGTTTATATTTTTCTTTGTCTTAGTTGACAAGACAGACACCATTCGATTTCCATCGGGCTTCCTGAAGGCAGCAGATGTCAATCCTTCTACGCTCGAGCATTTCTGCGATTTTCATGCTGCGGCCAGTCAGTGATCCAACATTGAGCGTTCCAAGTCTAAGAACCATAGAGGGGTCATTTTGAATTTTTCTGCAACTTCCCTCTGCTATTGCATACTTCCTAGGGATTCTTGGCACCCCTTGACCACTTAAAACCTGCTGGGGACTAGGGGCCGTTGTTTTTCTTTGTGATGGCATAAGAGTAATTTGGGGAAAAGTTTTTACATCCAGACACCCATCCTGACGACAGCCACCAGTTATAAGCGGTGGGCCTAGCCTTTTGCTCAAAAGCACGCAAGGCAGCGTGGATGCAGTTTTATGTCATGCCTAGGACCAAGACCATATGTCCGAAACCATAGATTTACATTATCTGAGATCAAAAAAATATCATGATCAATCGAATGCCGAGCTCATGTCAAAAAACGCTAATTTCAACCTATACTTTTTGTGATTTTTAAATTAGATTTATTTTAGTTTTTAAATGATCATTTTATTCCACTCATCTCCTTTGGTATAATTACCTATTCTAATAGATAAAGCGGATAGATTTTTGAAAATATTTTTAAAATGCTACATAAATTTATGAAAATAAGTTTATCCACAATTAAACAATTGGTTTCAGACCTGCTCACAATACTGAAACTTCTTTACTTAAAATACACAATGATATCCTTCTCTCTAGTGACAATAGTAATCTTACTCTTCTTCTTGCTCTTGACTTTTCCTCGGCTTTTGATACTGTTGGCCATACTATTCTCTTGAGACTGCTGCATCTTTCTTTTAATATTACTGATTCTTGTCTATCTTGGTTTTCTTCTTATCTCTGTAATCGTTTTTCTTCTGTTGTTCTCAATAATTCTACTTCTAACTCCTCTACTCTTACTTTTGGGGTACCTCAGGGTTCTATCCTTGGCCCTCTTCTATTTATACTCTATACTTCTGAACAACCTCGTATTATTAATAACTTTTCTTTCTCTAGTCAACTATATGCTGATGATTCTTACATTTATACTTCTTTTCCTCCATCTAATCTCAATAGTGTTCTTCATAATCTATCTCTATGTCTTTCTTCAATTATCGCTTGGTCTGACTCTATGTGTCTTAAACTTAATCTTTCTAAGTTTGAATTAATTTGTTTTAATAAATCTAAACACTTTATTACTATTCCCCCTATTATCTTACCTGATTCTAAAACTCTTGATGTCTCTCATAAGTTTCGTAGTCTAGGTTTTATCTTTGATTCTACTATGTCTCTCTCTTCTCAGATTGATAGTGTTGCTAGAAGCACTTACTTTCATCTACGTAGAATAAAAAAACTTTTGCCTTTTCTTGATGATCCTACTCTTCTCCTTCTTGTTACTTCGTTAGTCTTATCTAGGATTGATTATTGTAACTCGCTCTACTATGGTCTTCCTGACTCTATACTCTATCCTTTAAGTAAAGCTTTTAACTCTGCTGCTCGTCTAGTTGCTCGTGCCCCTTTCTTTTCTCATATATCTCCATATCTTGTTCTCTTGCATTGGCTATCTATAAAATATAGAATAATTTTTAAAATTCGCACGTTCATGTTTAAGTCTCAATCTAAATTATTTCCTAAGTATTTTCTCAGATATATTAATTGAACCTAAACGCCCCGGTTTACGATCGTCTTCTTTTTTTCGCTTTTTCTTAACTCGTGTTAAACACTCTTTTGCCAAATCTGCTTTTGCTTTTTCTGGTCTTTTTCTCTGGAACTCTCTACCTACTTCTCTGACTACTTTTCCATCACTTGCGAAGTTCAGAGCGAATCTCAAGACCCATCTGTTTTCAAAATTCATTGAGGAGCGCTGTTGAACATCGCGGAAATAGCGCTTTATAAGCTAATTGATTGATTGAATTGATTCATAATGATTGCTTTAGTGGTTTGAATCAATCAGTATTCAATACAAATGTAAAATTAATTAATGCGGTCTAAATTTTGAAATCACAAAATAATTTAAATATGTTTTTTCTATTTTCTATAATATTGACTGCTAATTTACTCTATAAATATTATCATTTGTATTTTAGCGAAAATCGATATAAATTTTCTAGTGATAACACAAATCATAATTTTTATAATCTTTGTTAAAATTTGATATGGCTAACAATCCTAAAAGAACATATAATACAATTATAGCTAAGTCAATCGAGTTGTTTTTGTTTGAATTATAATAAATCGTAATGACTTCTTAAACAATAAAACTAAGCAAAAGAATATTTTATGTTGTTTCAATAAATGCTAAAAAGACAAGGATTATCAAAAAAAGAAATAAAACAAAATTTCGATAAAACCTTAGTGATTAGTTTGGATAAAAAATCATTAAATCAATTCATTCATTCATTGTTTTACAAAAATATAATCATCAACATATATGAGGTGTTCGTTTATGGTAGCCTTCAGTTGTTTGGTCATGTTATATCCTTTCTTCGCCATTACATCGAGATATTCTTGAGGCTTACCATGCCTATATTCGACAGCCAATGTTTTTATATCAATTTCATTAAACGGAAGTGATTTTAAGATTGGTACTTCATCTCCTTCTACATCCAAACTGAAAAAATCAACATTTTTCACTCCAATAGCAAGAAGTAATGACTGTAGAGGAAAACAAGGAACTTCAAATAAATTTTCATCTGTTTTGTTTAGCTGTACTCTTCCAATTTGATTGTTACTGCCTCTAAAGTAAAGCTAAAAACGCATAAAAATAGTTTGATTCATAGATTATTTTATTCAAATTGTTTAATATCAATTAAACTCCATAATCATGTTTTCCACTCAATTTTAATAAAGAATTTATAAAATTGATAATAAATAAAACTTTGAAGACCATATAGAAATGGGCATTAAAAAATGGGATACAGTTTTCAAAATCCGAAACGAAAGCAATACTATTTTCAAGAAAACGAAATAAATTATTTCCCGGACTGATTTTTCAAAAGAATCTAATAGAGTTTCCATCCCAGAACAAATATCTAAAAATAATCTTTGATTCAAAGCTATATTTCATACCTCATACACAGTCGACAAGAAAGAAATGCCTGAAGGCTCTAAATTTAATTAAAATATTATCTCACTCTAAATCAGAAACATTTAATAACAATTCACCGAGCAAAAGTAAGAGTGATGGTAGACTATGGCGGCCCAGTGTATGGTGGCACCAGAAAATTGTATATGAAAACCCTTGAACCAATAGTAAACGAAGCTTTATGAAGATGCTTGGGAGCATTCAAAACGTCTCTATCAACCAGCCTTTATAACTTAGCATGAGAGATATCACTAAGCCTTAGACACCAAAACCTAGAAATAAATTATCTAAAAGTTAAATCTCAAACAGACAATTTTGCTGACAAATACATAATGGTGAAAAATCAATCAACAAAAGCAAAATCCTTTCTCACAAATGCAACAAGACTAGATAAAAATATTAAAAATGAAAAAAAATCATAGATAAAATAACAAAAATATGGATTACATTTTCATACTTTATAATAATGTTTATTTATTTGACTAATTTATTTATTTAGAAATAACCCAAGCTTAAGCTTGTTGGGTGACATCAAAATCCACGATGGGGTTATAAATTAAATAGAAATTGAACAAAAATAAAATTGAACAATCCTAGTCATTACATATTTGTAGACTAAATGTTCATAATGATTAAACCATGAACAACATCTTACATTTCTAATAATTAGTTTTTAACAACTGCATAAGTTCCGAAATAAATATAAATTGTTAATTGACATTATCTCCAAATTAACAATATAATACGGAGTAATATATCCTTATAGTATAAGGACAATACAAGATAAATATATAATACACCTTGTTCAAGATCTTCACTACTTGGTCGTGAGCTAATTAGAATGCTTCAAATGTGAAATATTTGTTAAAACCAAATTTTAAACGATTTTTTTTGCCTGATTACCAAGTAAAATTTCAACTTACTGAAATATGACTAAGTATTTTTATTGTCAGTTAGTTCAAAGTTTAGTAATTAAGTTAGATGATTTTAAATTATTTTAATATTAATTGTTACAAGTAGAGTGTAGTAAGTAAAGAGTATTGTTAAAGTTTAGCAATTGTTAATAATAATTTAAATTTAACAACCATTCAATAGACCTGTCGAAAAACAACTAACCTTAGAAGCGTAGTTGAATGGACTCAGACATGCATTTATGGCCCAGCTGTTTCTATTTTTGCCAATTATTTGAGTGAAATAATAAGGGTCAGGTTCGACTAACAACCCTGTCCAACCTTTTTCTATTTCCAAATAGAGGGTGTTTGAGGCACATTCTCCGTCTAACGCTCCTGCTTCCACGAAAAATCCATTCCTCTGACGCATTTAAAAATTTCATTTTAATAATTATTATTGTAATAGTTTATATGACAAAACCTTCTTTAAAATGTTATCGATTTCTTCTGCTTGCGGAGTTTTGACAAAATAAATGTGTTTAGAAACTTTATGTCTACTTGGTGGTATAATTATCTTTTTGAGAAATTCAATCAGATCTGGATTTTTTGAATCGGCTTTGTGATCACATAACTCATAAAATTTGTTTTTAATTTCTTCCGGTAAACTCGGAAATCCTAAAATGTGTGGAACTTCTGACAAATGTTTAGAAGATTGTGAACTTTTGCTCATCCTTAAACCAAACATAAAAATGACAAACGCAAATGAAATTACCGCTACTATGCATAATTTTGATGTTTTCTGAAACATCTTTTGAATATAAAAAATAATTTACTTCAAATCATTCATGTAGAATACGTTTAATACCGCCTTTATATTTTGCAAGAAAATATCGTGTTAGTACCGTATTTTAACCGTTTCAACATTTATTGATATTATTATCAATAATTGTTATATATGAATGTAAAATATTATATTATCGGTATGTAGTAAGGAAACTATGAAAATGTAGTCTAGTCTACACAAAAGCTTTGATGCATTGAAGCGTTTAATGAATTTCTTTTTTGCAATGCTTACAATTTAGAAATTAACACAAGTGAAATTATAACAATGTGAAATGCTTGGGTTGACTCGGCTTATGGTATATTATATAAGACATTATTTTTTTCAAACAAACGAACGTAGTATATACTTTTTGCTGAGTAAAACTTATTTCTCTCATTAAAAGTGTGAAATAGTTTGCAAATAAAGATGAAATGTTATTATATTGCTTCGAGAACTTTTCAATACTTACAAAATTTTACAAATGAACCAGTCCAGATTTTTTTGTAAAATAAGCTGAAACCGCAAACATCGTTTTAGATAATTTCAAACGAATGTACTTTTATTTTAAATTTAGGAATTAAGTTTGATTAGGACTGATTTGAATTACACCAACCTGTTCTAATTTAAATTATAGAAAAAAGAGAATAAAATATTTTTGCAATCATTCTCAATATATAGTTACATTTTATAACCTAATTAATTAATGGTAACTAAATAATTTTTATTCAGAATTAGCACATAGCAGCGTAATTGAACTTGCAATTTAGATCAATATATTGTATAGGTAGAGCGTATGTTTCAATTTTCACATGACTGATGTTTCATTAAAACAAGTTTTACAAGTTCACGTAGACCATATGTCCATTAAAACTGATACTGGCGAAAAACAACATAAAAACTTTTAATTATTCATATCATTAATCATAGATGTGAATATCATTGGATATTTTTGACAAAGTCGTTACTTACAATCATTTATTGCATTAAAGCATTCTTCCCATTAAGTGGAAATAATTAATTATTTAAAGTTCTTAGAAATTTTTCCACTATGAATAATTTGTTAAAATTATTAGAATCAGACTAAAATGAATCAGACTGAACAAGATATGAAGATATATGATAAAAGAAAGGGGCACGAGCAACTAGACGAGCAGCAGAGTTATAAAAGCTCTACTTAAAAGATAGAGTGCAGAATTAGGAAGACCATAGTAGAGCGAGTTACACTAATCAATCCTAGATAAGACTAACGAAGTAACAAGAAGGGGAAGAGTAGGATCGTCAAGAAAAGGCTAAAAAAAATTTTATTTTACGTAGATGAAAGTAAGAACTTCTAGCAACACTATTAATCTGAGATGAAAGAGACATACTAGAATCAAAGATAAAGCCTAGACTTTGAAACTAACTTGTGAGAAACATCAAGAGTTTTAGAATTAGGTAAGATAATAGGAGGAATATTAATAGAGTGTTTAGATTTATTAAAAGGAATTAATTCAAATTTAGAAGACCAACCAATAATTGAAGAAAGACATAGAGATAGATTATGAAGAACACTATTGAGATTAGAAGGAGGAAAAGAAGTATATATAAAAGAGTCATCAGATTTTAGTTGACTAATAAAAGAAAAATTATTTATAATACGAGGTAGTTCAGAAGAATAGAGCATAAATAGAAGAGGGCCAAGGATAGAACCCTGAGGTACCCCAAAAGTAGGAGTAGAGGAATTAAAAGTAGAATTATCGAGAACAACAGAAGAAAAACGATTACAGAGATAAGAAGAAAACCAAGATAGACATGAATCAGTAATATTAAAAGAAAGATCTAGCAGTCTCAAGAGAATAGTATGATCAATAGTATCAAAATTAAATTTGTAGCGAAGGTTAAACATTCATTATAGAATGGAAATTGTTATTAAATGAATTGTTATTAAGACTTGAATTCAAAAATTTTCTTGAGAAACTTAAACAACATTTTGTTTTTCTTTATTTTTTCGCATGCTTCTATTCTTGTTCATTTTTGCCTGGCAGTAAAAGCAAAAAATCTGTAAAAACCATTTATAAACATATTGTTTGAACCATTTTTAATTGAACGTACAATTTGTTTTATTTTCAATGTTTTATCATTTTTGGCTTACCGTGGCTTTACAGACTTAAATCTTGAGTCATATTGTGAATTTTTGCTGAATAAAAGCGTTTATGAATCTAATATAAATGATTTGTGTTTGTTATTGGCACTGATGATTAATTAACAAAAGAAAAATAAAAAAATTATTTCTTTTCTTACTAATAAGCAAAAAAGTATCAACAACACTTACGGCGCATTTAAATCTCATTAAATCCACGCATTATTGACATTACAAGACCAGGCTATTCAACCGCTACACTAATTTGCTCTTAATAAGGATCAAAGATACAAGTTTTTGATAATATATTCTTATTTATTTAGAAATATATTGTTTGATTGAAGTTTTTACTGGATCTAAATATATTTTGTACTCTCCTGACGCTTTGATGAAAGAAAAAAGTTAACATTTATATTTACAAAGAAATGCTCTGAGAGTATTTGAAGTGGTAGAATTATGGAGTCGATAATTAAAGATCGTTTGATAAATCACTTTGTGAGTAATGATTTGTTTAATCATATAAAGTTTGGTTTTATGTCTGGAAAATTTGCTGTTTTGTTGTTATTAAAGTTGTTAGATGAATAGAGTTGGGCGATTGTTGAGTGTAAGAAAGTTGAGGTTATATACACTGATTTTGAGAAAGCGTTTGATAAGGTTCCTTGTGATAAACTTATTACTGAATTAAAATCTTATAGAAGGAATGATTTGACAGTGGTTTGGATAAAAGATTACCTAAAAAGCAGATCTTTTATGGTAAAAGTTAATAGTTCAATGTCAGATAACTTTGGTGTTATTAGTGGGGTGCCGCAGGGTAGTGTATTAGGTCCTACTTTGTTTATTATTTATGTTAATGATTTATTTGACATATTTGCGAATAGATCGGATGTAGATGTGTACTTATGTGCTGATGATGCCAGGTTCTTCAAAAGTATTGGTTCAAAGAATGATAGAATGATTGTGTAGTCATGTTTGGATGGCCTGTATAACTGGTGTATTGAATGGCGATTGAAACTAAATATTGATAAATGTGTGGTTGTTAAATATGGGGGAAAAAAGTTGATGCTGTAAATAACGTTTATTAAACAAATGGAATATATTTAGATTCACCAAAAAAATGAATAATTTGGGAGTGACTTTTGATTGCGATCTAACATTCCATAAGCATATTTATAGTAGTATAAATAAATGAATTAGTTATTTAGGTCTGATTTCTCGACACTTTAATCCAGGTCATTTAACTTCAAATTCTTTTCTGCTACTATACAAATCTATTTACAGATCTAGAATCGAATATGCATCCAGCGTGTGGACTCCATAGACCAAGAAGTTAATTGAGGATGTCGAAAGAGTACAGAAGCGGACAACAAAATTGGTGAAGGATTGCCAAAGTCTCAATTATGGGGATCGTTTAAGATATTTAGATCTTCCGACTCTAAAATATCGCCGGTTGCGGGAAGATCTGATAACTGTCTTAAAGCTAACTCGCAATGCAAGAGATGATAAAACAGCTATTAACTCAAAAATTTAACAAAAACCTATAGAATAGGGTAGAGTGAATTTGGCAAAAAAAAATTTCTCTTATTTTTTTAATTTCCTGTACCGTTAATCGGTGACCTTATGGGAAAGCATCATTCGTACAAAAAATTAAAAGTGTGCGACTTTATCTCGAGGTGACGCACCATAAAGGCATTTCATAAAAAAAATTGTATTTGTACTTCTAACAAGAAAAATTTTTTTCGATACAAGGAAACGAAAGTATGATGATTTTATGAAAAAATCCGTCTGTAGTCCAAGTACTTCGTCTACCCAAATGATAGTTTCAACATCTGGTAGTTCTTCAACCGATATATCAGTGAGGATGGGATTTGCATCATAGAAATGCTACGTCGATCTGGCAAAAATTTCAACTAATGAGATGTCAGTTGCAAAATCTAGCTACCGCATGTGATAGAACTGGAATTTCTGATCGATCTGCTGCATTTATTGTTGCGCTGTCTTGCTTGATTTGAATGTTATTAGAACAGACGATTCATCAAAAAAAATAGACTAAAGCAAATTACGTCGAGAGCAAAAAAAAGTACGCAAACATTTGCAATATGCTGCCGAGGGCAATAAAATTATTACAGCTATTTATTTCGACGGTCGTAAAGACAAGACTTTAGTCATGACAACTACTAATAATGCAGCACATTGAAAAAATAATACCGAGAAGCATATTTCTCTCTTGTCAGAACCAGATTCTGAATACATCGGTCATCTTTTGATTCTGGAAAAGCAAATACGATTGAAAAAGCATTGTTTATTTTCTTGAAATGAAATTTGAATTTTGTTTTTCCTTGGTGGCAATTGAATGCGATGGCACAACGGTAAACACGGGACACAAAAATGAAGTCATTGTTTTATTAGAAAAACACCTGAAACGACCTTTGCAATGGTGTGTGTGCCTGTTACACGTAAATGAATTAGCGTTTCGCCATTTGTTCTCCAGTCTCGACGGTACTACAACAGGCCCTAATAGCTTTTCTGGCAGTATAGGAAAAAGGCTCGACAGCAGTTTCGACTTCAAAATAGAAGCATTTGAACCAATCCTAACAGACTTGCCAGACCTGAATACTGATTTGTTAAGCACCAATCAAAAATATCTGTATCAGATGTGCTCCGCAATTTCTGCTAGTTTGGTATCACCAAACTTAGCTATTAAAGGTCCAGGAAAACTGACACATTCTCGATGGTTGACTTGCGCAAATAGGATTTTTCGGTTATATATTGGAACAGCTGACCAGGCGGAAAACTTAAAAGAATTAGCCAATTTCATCATGAAAGCTTATGCACCACCCTGGTTTGATATCAAGACAAAATCATCTTGTGAATATGGTCCAATTCATGTGTTCAACATGGTTGAAAAGTGTTTGTATTTGCGTGATGACCTAAAAAACATTGTCTTTAAAACCGTTCAAAAAATGCTTTCTTCGCCCATCCAGAAAATATATTGCTAGCTATGTTACAAGATGATGCAAAACACATAAGAGAATTGGCTCTTCGGAAAATTTTAAAAGCAAGAAAAAAATCCAAAAAGACAAAAGTTCGTGAATTCAAACTTCCAGAGCTTAAGATTGATGCATCAAGCTATCATGATTCAATAGATTGGGCGATAGAAAAAATAACAGAACCTCCACTGACAATGAAGTATAGCGAAATAGAAATTTCAAATGACATTTCTTCAAAATGTCGTCTTGAAATTGAAAAGTAATCTTGCCACACTCAGGCAGTAGAAAGGTGCGTCAAGCTCGTGACAGAGGCTTCAATATCTTTTTGTAGACCAAAGCTAGAGATGGTTTTATTCGAACCAGATTAAAAGTCAGACAAGATATACAAATTTTCAACACCAAATTTTAGTATTTTGGTAAAAAAGAAGGTGCAGAGACTTTGGAATTAGAACATTAGAGCAATTGTTTTTATTTTGATTTAATAATAACTATCAAATATACTAGTAATTTTAAGTATCAGAATATAAAATATATAAAAGCATTGTGTAAAATAAATTTCTGTCAGTAAATCAAAAGTTGATTTTTTTTCAAAGTTCAAACCAGATGCGCCACCTGAAGATTTTGATTTAGAAAGCTAAAATTTTGCGCGAACACATCTTAGACAATGGGTCATTGATTGGCAGTACAGAAATATTGAAATTAAAAAAGTTTTTTCACTCCACCCTACTATGGAAATAAAGTTTTTCTAATAGAGTGATTGATATCTGGGATGGTTTGAATGTTGACGTGGTAAATGCTTGTGATGTTGTCCATTTAAAAAAAAGTTAGACACTTGTTTAAAAGTTATTTCATGTAAATTTGTTTATGAAGCTGACTGATATAATTCTATTTTGTATTTAATTTTTTGTGTATGTATATATTTTTAGTGTATGTGTACATATGTGTGTGTTTTTGTATGTATTTATGAGTATATTTCTATGTGTATATATAAATATGGGTGTACATATATTTATGTTATTTATTACTTGCTATTTTATTCCTTTATTAATTACTGTTTTGTGTGGTTTTGTTTGGACGATATGAATGATTGGCATAATGAATGACGATGAAGTTAAATATTGGAAGCATGGAGTTTGTTTAAAAGATTCACTTATATTTTTTATGAATATTTAATTTTATGCATATATGTAAGCTGGCTGATATAATTCTATTTCTCATTTTGTAGTTAATTTATGTTTATGTATGTATGTATAAGTATATATATATATATGCAATTATTGATGAAAATCACAGCCTGATTCATTGATTAATTGATTGATTGATTGATTGATTGATTGATTGATTGATTGATTCATTCATTCATTCATTCATTCATTCATTCATTCATTCATTCATTCATTCATTCATTCACTCAATCCATGAACCAACAATATTGTCTCCCTTGATTCCGTCTTTAATTTTAGCCTTCCCCATTGTGGTCTTTTCATCAAGCTTGTCGCCAGTCACAAAGTCAACCGGTAGGATTATGTTTACCTGATTGGTTGGTTGAGTGGTTAAAGAAACAATTAGTTAATTAATCAATTAATCAACTAATCAATCAGTCATTCATCCATTCAACCAACCAACCAATCAACTAATCCTACAAAAATTATAATTATTCAAAATTGATTAACTAACGAACAGATATAAAAACGAACAAACGAACGAAAAAACGAACGAACAAACAAATGAACGAACAAACGAATGAGTGACAGTTCGACAAAACAACAAACCAACCCTAAATTTTCGAGCAATATGATGGAGCCTGGCATTGGATTATTGCAAACATCATCAACATTTGGACCGATACATTCATGCACGAAAATAATTTCTCTTAAATAAAAATAATTAAAATAAAAATTATTTTTTATAAAATATGTTTATTGACTAGATACATACACAACACAGTCAAACGCACGTACACAAAGACAACCCAAAAACACAGACCTATCTAACAATTTTTGTAGCTCATCAGCTACCGGCTTTACTGACAATTTCTCTAACTTCTGGCCGTATCGGATCGCATCGAAACGATACTTTCCCAAGGTGAGTTATCATTATGATGGCTTCAACGTTTTTGCTCATGAGAAACTTTATAGTGTGTAGTGAGGCTAAGATTCTGTGATGATGACGAAGATGATGGTGATGATCGTAATGATGTGGAAATTGGTTTTGGTCGTCTTGATGGCATAGAGTGCCTGTGTATGTGTGCTTGCATATTTGTGTGTGTAGATGTTTGCGTGTGTGTGCGTGTATGTGTGTTTGAACCTGTGGTTGTCAAGAATCTTTCCATCTTCTATCGCCACATCCAGCTCGGCTCTGTTTTTTAATTGTGAGAATTTGAAACCGTAACGATATTATCAAATTTTCTCATAATGTTCTGGATTGGTAATTATCGAAATAATAATGGTATCTAATGAATTTTTTGTTAAACATTTATTTTCTTAATTTATTCTAAAAGTATCGTTTCGGTGCGATCCGATACGGTACGATGCCCTATTGTATTTGCTTCCGTACAAAATTAAAAAGACTGGAATGAAATAATTTTTTTTAACAACCTCACTAGGATTTTTTTATTCGTCAGTTCTATATCTTCGATGATTTTTCTTCTGAGAGACATAATTTTTTATTTGTTTGTATCTCTGTCTGTCTGGCTATCTATCTGCCTCTTTCTCTGTATGTCTGTCTGTCGGTATGTCTGTCTGTCTAGCTATCTGTCTGTTTCTCCGTTTGTCCATCCGTCCGTCTGTTTTTAGTTTTATGATTGATTGGATGGTTGATGGATTGATAAATAGATAGATAGAGATTAGTCGATTGATTGATAGATAGATTGATTGATTAACGAATAGTATGGTTGATTGATTGGTTTAAGTTGACTAAAACGTTTTGTAATGAAAACCTCTCGGAATATTTTTTGTAGCTAAAATAAAATCATTTTTTACTGTCTAAATGTTTATATTTTTGAACTATTTACTTATGTGACGTGAGGAGAATTAATTTTTTTTATAAATGTGAAAATTTTTAAACTTTTGAATCTTTCATTTTTGAGTCTTTCAAATAATCTACAACAAAGACAATCACACGTTCCATTATTCATTTTCTTTTTTTAAGATTCAACCATGTTGGTAGAGCTGTTGGTGGCGCGGCTCGAGGTTTCGGAAAAAGAAAATAACTTGAAACCGACCTTTAGGAGAAGGCCTGCACAAAACATAAATACTCGAAACCAATCACTCGCTCGTGAAGAGTCAGCTGTAGTAGCCCTACAGGAAAAATTTCAACCATTGGCTTGAAGAAGCTAGCGGAAAAATTTGACAACTTGAAATCAATTAATAGCTTGATAATATAGAAACTTGAAGCCAATTCCTCAAAGAGAGCTCGAGTGGAAGTTTGAAAATAATAAATTGTTCATGGAAAATTCGCGAAAATTATAAATCTTGAAGTTTAATTAAATTCATGCGAATATGAATGATAACAGTTGAAATGCTATAGCGAAATATCAAAAAGTTTAAAAAAGTTTGGGAACAATTATTTACAATTTGTGAAATTTTTATAATCACCATTTTCCAAATGGTAATTGCTATTTTAAGGATTGCTGCCAGTTAGAGAAAGCTGTTAGTCAGAAGCAGAACAATAACACTAAATGACGACACGTAGCAGCAAAGATTTAGATTTCAAACGTACACACACACATACACGCACAAACACATCAAAACTTACACAAACATACACACACAAACATATAAAAGCCCACACACACACTCAGAAAAACAAACACACACACAAACACATGCATACACAGATAAATAAATATTCGTTGCCAAAATCCGAAGCAAGACAATGGCAGCCAAAGCTATATCTGAAAAAGCTAAACAATTTGAAATAATGACTTTATATTTAGCTGTTTTATAAAAATTAATAAAACAGAAATGTTTAAATTAATTTTTATAAAAATAATAAAATTGTTGATACTACTCCTTTTAGTTCGTTCTGTATCACATTTTGTGTACCAAGTAAGACATTAGAAATCTTAATAAAAAGGTCTAACAAATTTAATTTTTGTCGTAGAATTTATTACGAGGGCCGAAGATACCTCTACGTCCTGACAGAACAACAATTGTCACAGCCTATTTTATCTTGAAAACATTTCAAAAAGGTTCTGGAGTCTAACGTTCTTACAGCACATACAAAAGATGGTGCTCCAGTTTTGCTCTTCTCAAAAACCCGCTAATAGTTTATTTAGAGAGAAACAGCTCATTTCTTGAAATTTTTAAAAATGTTCGATCAAATAACTCGAGTAATACTAAAATAGTTGAGGTGGAAAAGAGGAAATTATGGTGCTTTCAACTGCTTCCAAACATCACAAAAATATTTTCCAGATCTGACTATCCCAAACATTCACCAAACACAGTCGTTCCGGAATATCCAGCTATTCCGCATTGCAAATACGAACTTATGAAGATGTCGATATTAGATAATCCGTTCAACACTGAATATTTTGCTTGGCTGGATGTTGGTCTCTTTCGAGATTTGACCGACTACCCATTTTACTATTCAATCCTCGGTATCAACCATTTTTTTCTTCGAAATTTTTCAATAAATTTGTTGGAGGATTTTAAAGATTCAGAAGTAGGATACACAGAAGTGTACGAACTGCAAAGGAACGTGGATGCTTGCGATGTTATAGAGCAAAATATCGTCTGGGTGTGTGGTGCTTACTTCGTTGAGCATTCAAAAGTTCTTTTAAAATGGATTGGTGAATACATGAATGGAGTTGAAATGATGATCAGAAAACACGATTGTACAGGCACTGATCAGCAAGTTATCAATTGGTTGTTCAGTAATAAGAAGAAATTGAACATAACAACCAACATTCAAACGTACACCAACGCTGGAGGAAGGTTTGATCGCTGGTTTTATTTAGCATACATCAGTAGAAACTTTGAAACATGATCAGTATTTATAATTGTAGTTACATGAGGAACATTTTTTTAAATAAACCGGTTTTACAAAAAACAGTTAAATGTGTGAACATATGTACGTTTCTTTTATTTGAATTTGTTCGAAAATAACATTTCAGTAAAGTAAGTAAAATTGCTTCTAGATTATTATGAATAACTTTAGTAAAATTTTTCTTGTCAATAGCTTGACAACCCATTAGTTTCTCTTATTGGTATAATTTGTGTTCTAGCCATAGATACTAAACCGTTAAAAGATCTGAAAATGAACTAGTTAACTTATTTTTAGCTTTTTAATTTTTTTACTAGCTTTTTTTGAATATTTCTTGAAATTTTTATTTCAAATATTAAAATTTTAATTGTTATTCAATGTGGTAATCAGTTACTTTTATTTGTTATAATTTAAAAAAATAAAATCGACATTATCGAAAATAATTAGTGAGTTTTTTTGCATATCCCTGCTTTGACTCAAAAGAAAGTATTGTATATTGGTAAATAGGTCTCCCCTTGCCTAAAAACAATATAAATTAAAACAAAAAGATTTGTTTAAATCATCTCAACAAGGATGGCTGTGTAAGAATTGCTTGTCCCTTATTACCGTATTTATATTAATTTCACATATTTTGCTTGCTTGCTTGGTTGTTACTATAATTTAATGAATTTCTCGATAACTTCCCACTGCCTGATTGAGCTAAAATTTTCCATATTAGTTCATTCCCGGTGACAGTACGTTAATTTATTAACAGACTGAATTAAATTAATAAATAAACTTGAAAAAGAACATAAAAAGAACGCTGGGAGCAGAGATAGGGAGGTTCCAACAATAAATAGTTGACTAATGGTATTTTAACTATTTTAACTCTCTGGTAGTTAAGATGTAGTTTGAACAACTTTTTCAATTAGTTCATGAGTACAAATTAACAATTTTTAAAATAGCAGTTAACCTATTATAATTAACTACTTTTTTAACAACTTGAACACGTTTTTACAGAATCAGAGTCTGGTCTGTAAAGCACTACGGTCCCAAATCAGCCTGGCTACAAGAAACCAGAAAGTCAACTTTATCTCTTTCTTTTAAAAAATGGTTAAGATTTGGTTTTCGGAGTGATTTCAAACCAAATCTGAGGTTCTAGGAAGAATAGTCAAACATTTAAATTGTGTTCTGCGCACATGGTTACATACAACGACAGCGATAGAAACTTTACAGCAATGTGCTCCACATGTAATAAAAAAAAAATTTGGAAAACATCCCTAATTTAAATTCCAATTATTTCAACTTTTTAAACACGTAAATGTAACTAAATTGTAATCATTTAAATAACAGTTTGTATGTGAAAAGACTAAAAAGCATACACCAGACAGTCACAAACTATCAACTTTCAAAAATTGTAGTTAGTACAGCCTTTGTGGTACGAAAGTTTTATTACAAGGATCGAATAGCTTGCGATTGACAGAGCTGCATCATAAAATAATTTAAAAAAATCTCGAGTTAGACCCAAGCTTTAAAATTATCATTTAGGAGAATTGAGTTTCTACAACCTGATGTTAAAATGATATAATGGTTGATTGCAACTGGTCCTGCATTAAAGTGATAGGGTTAATAAAACAAAACAAAATGAAACAAAATCTTATTCAGTAACATAAAATTCCATTACCGTTTTACACATTATTGTTCACAAAATTGTTGAGTTTTGCTGATAGGGAAGGCCAAACAAATGATGATCATTGACATCTTTTTCCATAACAATCGTGATTGACCAAATTGTTAAATTATATAGTTACTGATTGACAACAGCAATTTTTGTTCATATCAAAAATTGACAATAAATTTAAAGCCTTGTAGTTTATGAAAGATTGAACTGCCATCGTTACATTTAGCGTCACTTCATTTGATCGTGCAAATTAAAAAAAAATTAATGATCCAATCAGCGGACTTTGTGATTCTACATCTGTTGATGCTATGTGAAAAAAATATTAGTACAGCAAACCAATCACAAAAAGATTTCAAAATACAGAAAATAATCAACACGGTTTGTAATAATTTATTAAAGATCACAATAAAAATAATAAGGCGTAAAGATTCTCGAACCTGAAATTGAAAGCAACAACGTTTTCACAAACTGTCTTTAATACGAAAAATTGGAAAACTATCCTGCTTATGGCTAGCGTAAGTACAGCTGGTCAGTAGTGTTATACTTTCAACATAGAAAAAACTGTTAAGAGCTCCATCAGTTTATTTTCGTTGCGTGGTGAGCAAATGATTGAGAATGATAGTTAAAACTTGAATTCCTTCACGCATAATTGAGCAAAACATAGCTTTAATTTACTTGGCCTGGTGTTTCTGAACAGCTATGCATTCAAATGAACGTTCACCGGGTCTCAGCGCTTTGTTCGTCGTGATATTTGGTTTTATGTGCTTCTCTATTAAATATTTCAAACATATATATTTTAATCAATAGTTTTGAAATTAAAAAATATTTTATTGTAATAAAAAATGCTTAAACAAATCGATGAGAATAACTTTTTAATCGATAGAGAACTATTGTATGAATTGAGCAAAAAATGAGCATATTATTAATTGTGATTCCGATACACATTTGTATAACCGCTCTGCCACATGAAATATATATATATATATATATATATATTTTACAATATTCTATAAATTCTACCGAATGTTTGTAAAAATTATGATCTATTACCAACATTTACTCGAAGTTCTGCGACCAACCGACGTAGTCTAACAATCGAACAAGATCGCGAGCAGCGACTGCTCCATCTCTCTTGAGAATTAGAAGTTAAAAACTACAAACATTCGGTAGAATTTATAGAATATTGTAAAAATTATGGTCTATTACCAACATATATATATATATAAATACATTGTTTATTCATGTATTCAGATTTATTTACATGCTTCTATCATACCATTTATTTTGTCTTCTTCAAGTTTAACGTGTTGTGCTGTGTATTGAAGAGCTGAGAGCCATGTATGTCGTAAAAAATTGATGAATTTAAAATATAAAATGAACCTTGCGAGCAGAGATGGGTCGGTACCAACAACAAATATTTAACTAGTGGTAAAGAACTATCACCGGTATTTAAGCATGTAGTTTGAACTATTTTTTTCGAAAAGTTCATAGGTACCAGTAAACTATTTTGAAAATGGCACGACAATCTCAAATCAACCTGGCTATATGATACCAGAAAAAAAGATATAAACATGCTGAAATATTATGCAAATGCATGAAGTAAACAATTAAAACAAATAATAATAAATAGAATCTTTAAAAAATTTAATAAATATTTATTAAAAAATTATAAAAATGTTAAAATTGTAAAATTTGATGAATTTGCGTTCATGAAAAATTTATGGTATCCATGGTTTCTCTTTCAACTTTATCTCCTTCTTTTTACAAAATGGTTACTGTTTGGTTTTTGAAGTGATTTCAAACCAAATTTGAAGTTCTAAAATGACCAGTCAAATATTTAAATTGTGTTGTGCCGACATGGTTTCATACAACGACAACGATAGAAACTTTTCAGCAATGTGCTCCACATGTAAACAAAAAAAATCGGAAAACATCCCTAATTTAGATTCCAATTCTTTCAACTTTTTAAACACGTAAATGTAAATAAATTATAATTTTTTAAATAACAGTTTTTACGTGAACAGACTGTAAAGCATACACCAGACAGTCACAAACTATCAACTTTAAAGGTTGTAGTTAGTACAGCCTTTGTGGTACGAAAGTTTTATTACAAGGATCGAATAGCTTGCGATTGACAGAGCTGCATCATAAAATAATAAAAAAATCTCGGTTCAGATTCAAACTTTAAAATTATCATTTGAGAGAATTGAGTTTTAACAACCTGATGTTAAAATGATATAATGGTTGAAGACGTCTGGTCTACATTAAAGTGATAAGTTTAATGAAACAAAACGAAACGAAATGTTATTAAGTAAGATAAAACTCCATTACCGTTGTACGCATTATTGTTCACACAATTGTTGAGTTTCGCTGATAAGGAGGGCCAAACAAATGATGATCATTGACATCTTTTTCCAAAGTAGTATAATTTTAACAATCGTGATTGACCAAATTTTTAAATTATATAGTTACTGATTGACAGCCCAATTTTTGTTCATATCAATAAATTTAAAGCCTTGTAGTTTATGAAAGATTGAACTGCCATCGTTACATTTAGCGTCACTTCATTTGATCATACAAATTAAAAAAAAATTAATGATCTAATCAGCGGTGTTTGTGATTCCACATCTGTTGATGCGATGTAAAAAAATTTTATTCCAACAAACCAATCACAAAAAGATTTCAAAATTCAGAAAATAATCAACACGGTTTGTAATAATTTATTAAAGATCACAATAAAAATAATAAGGCGCAAACATTCTCTAACCTGAAATTGAAAACAAAATCTTTTTCACAAAACTGCCTTTAACACGAAAAATCACACTTTTCTGCTTCTTAACTAAATTTTTTTTATACAATGCCAAGGCACTCGGTGTTTAGTAAAAATGGATTTTGTGTTCCCCTTTACGCATATGGTTGTGTTTTAGGAAGAGACAGAATGTTTCGGTGGATCTTCATTAAAGCATTCGTTTATTTCAATAATGCAATCAATTTTACACGACTTCTCATAATTTTATTTATTATTCAGGCCATGTTAATTAAGGTGACCCATGAAATTCTTGAAAAACGGCATTGTTATAATTTTTGGTTTTTAATCTAAGAACAGAAAAATATGCATGAATCCGTTGAAGAAATGTATAATTATGAATTGGCAAACAACTTTTCAAAACGTCTACCATAACAAATGCTAACATTATTATTACTACCAACTTTATTATCCTCGTCGTTGCATTTTGCAACATTCTTTCCAGTAAATGTATTTCTAGTTAACGATCGAGTACTTTTAATGATGAAACTCGTCAATATACTTTTGATTGAACAATTTAGATTATTCTTTTTTAAAGTCGATGATAGCCAAACCAATTAATGTTAATTCTATTCTTAAAAATACCTTAGCTAAATTCACAAATGTTAAACTTGTCAGCAAATTATTTAAATTAATATAACACTTAACTTTGTATTCAACAAGCGAAAGATTTCATTGCAGTTAGCTTAGTGTAGTTAAATTCCAAATTATTCCAGACTAAAATTATTTGAAATTATCAATTCTTAGCAATCGGAAGAACAAATATTTATCAATTCATTTAAGATACCTTACAGTACACTTAGGGGTGGGCAAACTTTCTGCTGTGAGGGCCGCATTGAGAACTATTTTATTTGTGAAGGGCCGCATATGTACTTAAATGGTAAATTTTTTTGACCCGGCAAGAAATTTTTTTAAGACTTGTGGCTCCTTTATTGTTGATAATGTCTGATAGACGACTTTTTTTGGCAAGCAAGACCTCGCGAGCGCATAAAATAGCTTCGCTAGCCATAGTTTGCCCACCCCTGCTGTAACCCATGGTTCATAGTTGAATCAGACAGTATTCGTACTTCTAATCAACTGTAGTGTTAAGTTTCAACGGAAAATCTAAATGATAAATTCATTGACTAGTTTAGCTCATAAATTCGAATAATGATGATATTTTTCAAATTTTGCAACTTTGCAACCTAAATTCCTAAATTGCAGCGGTGAAGATCATTATTAGATAGCAAAAATATATGATATTTGCAATCTGAGTCTGAAGATTCCCTTTAATAAAAAAATCTTACAAAGAAAACTCCCTTACTATTTATTTTTTATAATTGTTAATTGTTTTGATAATGTCTTGGACATTTCGATTATTGTCAATGTTTTCTAATTTTGTGAAAATATAAAATCCACTTGTATTATTGATAGCGATGTCCCATTGTCATTGTATTGTAAGAAGTGTTAACAAGGCTGAAAAAATTATCTAAAATAACAATAATTAGGTAAAAAAATATTATTTACTTGGTTTTATACCTGGTTTTGGTATAACTTATCATCAGGCAAGTTATGCCCATTACTGGTCAAAGCAGTAGTAGTAGTAAGATGCACTGTACACAGGCAAAAACAGCCAGTGAGAAAGCTATTGAGCATACCATGACAGCCTACTCTTTGACTTGTGTTTTTCCAGTAATTATAGCTTGCATTAAAACTTTTCGCCTTCAGTGGCAGATCTAAGGGGCAGTATTGTTATTAAAAGTCAGTAAAATACCAGTTTGTACACAGGAAAAAACAGTTTGAAGTAGAAAATTGACAAAAAACTTGACGTGATAAAGAAAAAAGGCCCACATTTGCACAAGTTCGGTTAATTTTTTGACCTCCAGTCAAATTATAAAATTTAAACATTTTCTATATTTTGGCCTCCTTGTTAAAGTTGTTTAGATCCGCCTCTAGACGAATTTAACAAATTAATACTGGGCAACAAATTTCAAATATTTGCTGATTTAATAAAGAGGTAATTATCTTTCAGTCACTTGGTTGGCTTTAAATATTCAACCCAATTTTGAAGTTAGACCAGACAGAGGTAAACTTTTTAGTCAATGGTTTTAAACAATACCTGATTGGCGAGTTTTCTTCAAAACGTAAGAATACTATGCTTTTATATTATATTTTTCCTTTCTCAACTTAATTTTTTTTTAAATGAATTGTAAACTTGCGTCAGACTCCGACGAATAAAATGTTGTTAAAAATAATTTTTTTTTATTTCACAACTCCAAGCTCTCAGAAAATTAGAAAATAATTTCCATTTTAACTTGTAAATAGTGAAATGAGCAAAACCTTTAGATTATAAGACGTATGCTACCATGTGCTACCATGTAGTTTCTTTTTTCCGTTTTCAACATTTTAATCAATTTAAACTCTAAATTAAATAAATTATAGAACCATTTATAAGGAACTAGACATTCATAACCAATAAAAAACACATTAATTTGTAAACATCAAAAATTCAGAAAATTTGTTAACTGACGGACAGAATTATAACGACTACGCTCAACTGACTAGGTTAAATTACAATTCAAAAATAAACAACAGTAATAATAATAATTGATTAAATATAAATAAAATAATTCCAAATTAAAACTATCCTGTTTATGGCTATCGTAAGTACAGCTGGTCTGTAGTGTTCTACCTTTAACATAAGAAAAACTGCATTGTGAAGTTCATTTTCTTTGGTTAGTGAGCAAATGATTGAGAATAATAATTAAAAAGCATTCCTTCACGCATAATTGAGCAAAATATAACATGATTTTAATCGGCCCTGTGCTTCGATGAATGAACAGCTATACATTCATTTGAACGTTCATTGAGTCTCAGTGCATCGTTCGTAATGAAATTTGCTTGTATGTTTTTCTCTATTAGATATTTAAAACATATATTTTTTAATCAATAGTTTTGAAATTAAAAAACATTTTGTTGTAATAAAAATGGTTTTAACATATTGATGAAAATAACTTTGTAATCGATAACTTTTGTATGAATTGAGCATATTATTGAGTCTCTGCAACATATTATACCATTTTAATTGTCTTCTTCAAGCTTAACTGCTTATTGTTGTACTCGCGTACTGTGCATTGAAGAGCTGAGAGGCAAGTAAGAGACAAGTTGGAACTATTCATTGCATCTGTGTTTTGTGTTTAATGTGCTCTATCTATTTCCAGCTTAATTTTTGTTTTACTAATGATTCACTCTTGTAATCACCTGTGTTAACGCAGCATTTTTTATTGGCTATATTCTAACAAGAGTAGGATTTAACGCATTAATTTTAAATTATCATAAAATAGATTTAAATTCCTTTTGTGTTATTTAGCATAATTATCCTATTGTTCAAAATAAGAAAGAACACGTAATTCTGACCAGTTCACTTATGCTACATAATGCCTAATGGTCACGAGTGAAAATTTTAAATTTACGTTGGAAAGATGATAATCAACAAAAATAAACCGACCACGTTTATGCTTTCTTTGTTGTTCAGGATGTGAAAAGTTTCTGGAGTATTATTTTCAAAAAAGTTTGTAAAACTATTGTTAGTTTAATTCATCAAATTTTCACATATATCAACTCCAAATTATTAATTCATTGTTGAATTGTTTGAAAACGAGCTTGATTTTTACAGGTTTCTATAATTGAATCTATAAATAAGTACGTTCTGAAGTTCTATTGCTGACACTTCATTTGCAAGAGAAAATCTTTTTATCGATGATATGTGCTGTTGATTTCAAAGTCAATACTGATGCAACGTAAGAGGCAGCTACTTCTGCGAGCGACAAATTTATTTCTAAAAAATAATAAAACGTAATTTTTTAATCAGCTATAAACTGTAAGTCCGCTGCTGTATTTCAATAACTTATTCAGGTATTAATATATTTGGATATATAAATTACGCATTTAATTTAAAGGAAGCTTCACATTGGTAGGCATTGTTTCATCAAGTTATTCGTTTTTTTTTTTTGAAAAATTGTTTTAAAAAAAAATAATACTCTTAAATTTTAGGTCAGCTGTAATTTCGTTGATATGTGCAACTTCGAGGCCAAAACAAACGATGAAGATGTGAATGATTTTTTGAAAATGTGGAATGAAATGGCAGAAAAATATAACTGGAATAAAAATATGATGAAGAGAAAAAGTGAATTGTTGGTGGATAAATTAAAGTCTTTTGAGAAGACGTATTTCAGTGTTTCTGCCTGTAACGAAAACGAAGGCTCAAAAACCGCTGCAACCTCTGAATTTGTGCCAACTCCCATCGAGGTTGATGTTTTTCCATCTAATGAGAATGATGAAGAAACAAAAATTATTGTCAAAAACAAAAACATCGGTATGGAACGCAATCACAAATTTAAAAATAAGAAAATTGGCAGCCATTTCAAACGTTGCAATATAAATGCGTGTAAAGATAGTAGTAGTAAAAAGAAAGCAATTGTTTCCGAGAACAACTGTTTGAAAAATACCCATCATAAAAAGATTTTAAAAACAACACTCGAAGGTAATGGGGATAAAAATCTTATAAATTTTTACAAAATTTTAAATTACGCACTTGTTACGTTTTTGAACAGTTATGAAGATGTCGATACAAAAGATAATAGTAACGTCTATGAAAATTTTATTCAATAATTTTTTTTTAATGAAATCTCACAAAACTAATAATAAAGATTTTCTTTGAATTATAGATGTCAAGATAGAAGTTCATAAAAAAATGAACGTAAATAAGCATTTAAAAAAGCCCATGAATGCTTTCTTCCTTTGGGCTAGAGAAGAAAGAAAATTGATGAGATTAAAGACGAAAATTAGTAACAACTCTGGTATCAGTACGTTATTGGGTGAGTGTCCTCACATACATATATTGAAAGGCCTGTAAAATGTTAGCTGTAATGTTCTCAAATGAAAAATATTTTCACACAAGGCAAAAAGTGGGCAAGCATGACAGAGGAAGACAAAC